CCTTTAAGCATTAACCTCACATCAGACAAAATAGTCATTTTATTTTCCTAATATTTAGGATTTCGAAATCAACTAAATCTTGTATTAAATTTTTCCCTTTTTTAGAACTATGTAATATAATAAAAAAAAAATATACTCCAATATTAATAGTACACGAAAATCACATATTTTTCATAAACAATTCTTATTGATCGAGCACTTTCCCTTTCTTTTAGGTTTAGGAAACCGATTTTTCTTTATCTCTTATTTTACATAACTATAAGTAGTTATACTAAATATTAGAAAGAAAGATAAACAGTAGCTACAACTACTTGTAAGTTTTCAAACTCGGTGACGCGTGAATTTCATATTCAATACTGGAAGCCGAAGGTATTCAAATTAACATAGCTAATCAACTTTTAACCTTTCGTAACCGCACTTATGTTGGATTCGTAATAACAATTAATCTTTAAAATTTTTATTATTCTCTTTTATTTGTTTTTTAACTTTATTTATGTGACGCAACTTTAGGTGTTTATTATAAATACACTACTTTGACTTTTCTAGATCTTTGCACCTAAATAAAAAAACCACACTCTAATATTTAGGACTAAACTAATATTTTAGAGTTATAATTTTTTAACTACAATTCTTTCAAAACTGCGTATGAAGGAAACTGTCTATTTTATGTAAGAATATTTCAAAAATTTTGTTGCTTATTAAACAGAAAAAGGGGGGAAAAAAAGGAAACTTTGAACATTTTCCTCTTCTTTCCCACAATTAAATGGTAGAATATAAGTCCTTCTAGGCTTCTAATTTTAGAAGCCTAAACGGACTTGTATTTTACCGTTTGATTGTACAATATAAGCCCTTCTACACTTCTAATTTTTGAAGCCTAAGCGGACTTGTATTCTACTGTTTGATTGTAGGAAAGAAAAGAAAATTGTTATATAAGGTTTCTTTATCGAGCATTCATTATTTTAGAAACTTATAATTTTAAAAAATTATTTTACAATTCAAACATATTTTAAATAATATTAATGTTAAATTTTTAAATATTCAATCAGAGAGAAACATGCGTAATGCACGTAATCTATCTAGCTATACTATATTAAAGCACGAAGGTCCTTAGCGAAATATTGTTCGTTCTTTTTTACCTTTTAAAAATAGATTTCATACTAGATAAAACAGTCATTTAATTATTTTTCTAATATTTAGGAGTTCAAAATCAACTAAATATTTTTTTTAAATTTTTTTTTGTCTTATTTAAACTACATAGAATATCCTAATATTTAGGATTTCAAATTCAATTAAATTTACTTAACTTCAAATCTTTCCTTAAACCAACATTATATCCTTGTAGACTTTAAATATGCTTTTGGAGTTTAATGTGTATTCTTAGCCTCTGATGTATATAATTGTTAGTATTATTTTTACAAATACTTTCAATAATTGATTACCTAAAATACATGACCAATGCATGTTAATTTTTTTCTTTTAATTTTAAAGAGTTTTGATTTAATAGGTATACATTTCTAGAAGTCAGAATTATTAGTGAAACATGAAGAGGCTGAAGTGGTGTTATGATTGCCACCAGAACAAATAAGAATTCTACGTACTTAAGTTACAAAGAATAAATTTCACATGCTAAAAACAGACATATAAATATTTAAATAAAGAAAAATTAATGTTAGTCAAAAAAAGAAAAAAAGAAAAAAAGAAAAGAGTATAACACGTTTTTAAACTTTTAATATCTTTTGTTATAAAGTAGCTTAACCTCATTTTTCTACATAAAATATATATCTTAGAATCTTGATAAATTAAAATTAGATTTTATTTTTGTATCATCCAATAAAATGGAAAACTAATTTATTCCTTACACGATGATTAACATAAAGTTTTTATGCTTCATTTGTACCAACTGAAAGACTGTGTGCTTAGTTGCGTTGAAAAAACTTGTTTGTCCAAAAGTAACAATTAATTAAGTAATAACTAATTTATTATTTTCTTGTTTTATGATATTATGATTATAACATTAATAAAAGAGATGTTGCGTGAGATTGTAACAACTTACCATATACTTATATAATAATGATAATAAAATCTCAAAACTCGAAATACTATATAACTAATTCAACTAAATTCATCATCTTTATATATTTTGAAGATATTGTATTCAACTATTGTATTAATGTAATAATATTTATTTTGATCATTTGACAAATATCGCATTTAGTTTAACATCAATTGTTATTTTTCAATAAATTTTTTTTACACGTTTTATACTAATCAGGGGTGGATGCACACCTCCTCAAGCGGTGTCATGCGACATGACACCGCTTCGTCGGAAAATTTTACTAAATATATGTATTAATACTGTACGGAAACGGATAAGTAAGAAAAAATGACACCACTTGACATAAATTGTGCCTTGGTGTGTTAGTTTTGTGCTTGATTTTGCTCTAAGAGGTCAAAGGTTCAAATCTCAACTAGCACTTTTTGCTTTTGTAAATATTTGAGAGAGCCTTTGTAGTTAAAAATTGTGATGAAGTAGAATTGAATTCAAAATCTTTTTTAAATTAAGACTCAACAAAACCAATAAACTAAGGTTATTTCTTGTCTAAAAGTATGATAATCAAAGTAACATTCCAGTTCTTCTATAAATTTCGACACCACTTACAAAAATTCCTGCATACGCCCCTAATACTAATTGACGCGATATACACGTGCAACACACGTACACTAAAACTAATTTTGTTGAAAAGCGCATCTTGATGTTTAAAAAAGGTATATGATATTTTGTATTAGAATTGATGGATAAAGTAATGTTTATCCAAATTATCCAGAATAAGCGGCCCAAGTTAGATGAATAATTCTATATGATGAACATGACTAGGACAAAGGCTGAAAAACTTGCCTTTCAAATAATCACATATTGAAACTAAAAAGGATTTAAACATGCATCCGTCTCCTAAATTTGTAGCGTTTCACATACCTTACCAAATATCACACCTTCGTGGTGATTGCCCTATTTAAACCCAAAAGAGAGAGCTTTTGTAGACTGCAAATTTGAGCTGCTGTCATCATCTCCTTTTCGATTATGACTTTGTAAATGACCTATTCCGGTTAAACCCCTACACCCCCTTTTCATCCTTCTTTTCTTTGACTTTGCACATTCAAGTTGGATGTAATATACTATTAGATTCGACCCTTGAGGCTTTTATTCCAACATTTATGTAAGCTTTTGGTGGGATGTTTCTATAAACACTGGCGGAGCTATGTTGGCGAGACTCGAGAGGTTAGGGCAACCTGGTTCACAAAGATCCCGCCGTCGCATCCCCCAAGGTGTTATGTAGAAAGCCTACTTTAAAGCAAGCATTAGTGACTGTTTCTACGGCACGAACCTCTGACCTACAGGTCACATGGAGACAACTTTACCGTTGCTTCAAGGCTCCCATGACCTATAGGTCACACGGAGATACCTTTAATTGGGAGATTGTTCAATTAAATTCTTTTTGCCGGAAAATTTTCCATGTATGATGCTTTAAGGAAATACGGAAAAGGGCCTAAACTATCTATATCGTTTGCTAAATGGTTTATAAATACCCTCAGTCTATCTATTCGTCCAAAAAATCACACGACGTTAATTCTATTAATAAAATTATCCCGCGACCAACGGCAGAACTAGTGAGCCTAAAATTTAATGACGTGTAATTTTTTTTACTGAGCCACGTGACAATCTCTGATTGGAACAAAAATGGATATTATTTCGACCCATTTACCTTATTCGATCCAAGGTTTTGTTACATGGGTCATAAAATTTCATTAACCCACCTAACTGATTCTACCAAAATTAAATTTAGATATCTCACCACCATGAGAAAATTTTGTTTCTCAATTAAGTACTCTTAACTTAGTTTGTTGAAGATGCCAACGATTTATATAAGCTTTTTTTTTTCCAATTTTCCAGGGTAAAATAAGAATTATTTCCCTCACTTTTCCTTTAGTTTTATGTAACTTTAGGGTGTTGTTCATGGGAGAAATGACTATGGTGGTGGGAGCAGTAGCTATGGTGATGGAGTGGCGGAGACAACCGCTGCAGTGGTGAAAATAGTGTTGCAGCTAGTATGATGGTGGAGGTCAACTCCCAATGGCAGTAGTTGCGCAAGAGAGAAGATGAATGGGGAAGAGAGAGTTTGGGTGGAATCAAGAAGAAGATCGAGAAAGTGAGGAAGCCATTGGAAACAACAGGAGAGTTCTTTAGGAGGAGGGACGACGGGAGGAAGCATCCCATGTTGACTAATCAATTTAGCTACGCTTTTCTTGGCCTTGGCATCTCCGTCATCGCTTTCTCCATCTACTGCATTGGCAAATTTGCTTACAACAAGATGTCTTCCCCTTCTCACTCCACCTCTTCCGCCGCAACTTCTCACTTTAACAAAATTTTGGGTCAAGTCAGTTAAGTGGACCGAAATAAGATTTATTTTTTATTTTAGTTCGAGATTGCCACGTGGCTCAGTAGAAAAATGACACGTCATTAAATGTAGGCCCACCAGTTCCTGTTACTTGCGGGAGTAATTTTATTAATAGAATTAACGTCGTGTGGTTTTTTTGGACAGATAGATGGACGGAGGATATTTAGGAAATATAATTTGTAATACGAAGACAACCATTGCAGCATGATGCATTAAATGAAAAAAAGAAAGGAAGAACAATTTTTGGTACTCTTTTTTACATAGTTAATAGGAGGCCTCCTGAACAATGTTAAAATTCGAAATACAGTTAAATTTTTACATAGTTAATCGTTGAACTTTTTTCACGAGGAAGATTTTTCTTTTGTACTTTCACTAAAGAAAGAATATGAATTCTTGGAATGAGCTATAGGCCTCAAGCTCCACTAGTTTTATGGCCCATATGTTCTACTTTATATATCACTTTGGACCCTTCAATTTCTTTTTTCTTTGCTTGTATAGCTTTATTTATGCTATGAAAAACAAAAATATGGAACCCTAAGAAGACTATATAAATTCACCTTGATGATATTATTATCATAAACAATTCAATTTACCACAAGAATAAATCCAAAGAAAAGTTGGAAACATTTCTTTCTTTTCAAAGTTTAATAAACATGTTCGTAACAAACACCCTAGTCGTCAAGAGGTTATAATGATTTCAAATGTTCTCTTGATCACCGTTGTTCAGTTGAAATTTCACACTTCTAATATTTAAGAAACATATTGCATAAATTCCATGTCCTCTTCGAGTCCTGCCATTGTCTCAGGTGCCAAAACCACCTCAAGATCAACGGTCCCATTTCCTTCTCGTCCGGGGAAGGCGGAGATCTTACCGTCAAATTTATTAGCCATGCCACTTCGGACCGCCAGGGGCCGGCCCCACCCGAAATCGTTATCGTACATTGGAAATCTAGGTGAACTTCCCATAGTGATCATAGCTCCGTCGAAATTTCCCAAAGGAAATAACCTAGGATTACTTTCCCAATCCTTCACACCCCGGCGCACGGTAGCATCATCATGCGCCACTACATTCTGATGTAGCAGATTCGCGCTCCAATTCAAGTCGTTAGTTAACAGCTCATTAACGGAAGCAACCGTTGGGATACTCTGAATCGCGTTTCCAAAATACAGCGGCTCCATCTTTTGCTCGAGCCGATGGCGACAGTTCACCGCCATCCTAAACGTCGTCGTTTTGCTCCCGTCCAACTTCCTGGCCCGCGTCACGGATCTCCACAACTGAGCACTCAACGATTGGAATGATGAAATCTCCGAAGCCGTACCCTTCACAGCCGCACCGTTTTGCAAAGCCGGCTCGTTGTTAACGGGTGTTATCTTCCCGTTAGTTTTTCCGTTTTGACCGTTAACTGCCATTTTGTTGTTGGCTCTGAATTTCAGCTTCAAAATAGCTTCTCTGCTAAAATGAAAGATCTTCTCACGTATAGGCTCGTCGCCGGAGAAAGTCGCCGACGGTCCACCTTCCGGGAACTGAAGAACCGCCGGAGAATCAAACACCGTGTTACGACCGAAAAACGGCTGTCTCGTAATCTTCTTCTCCCCCTTAGAAAATTCAGCGAAAGTGTTGAAGAAATTCCAGAAAGAAGTTCCGTCAACGACGGCGTGATTCATCGTGCATCCGATGAAAACGCCATCGTTTAGCTCAGTTACCTGAATAGCCATTAAGGGTTTATAGTGTCCGGCGTAACTCAGGGTACTATCGAATTGGAAGAATTTTCTGAAGTAAAGTGGCAAATCGGAGTAATTTGGTGGAATTAGAGTGGCAATTGTAAGATGGGGTGCTTTCGCGTGTACAAAGTCGACGCCAGCGTCGTTACAGAGGATGTACACGTGGCCATCGGAATTAGTGATCAGACGGCCAGCTAAGGGAGGGAAATGGGAGAGAGTTTTAGAAAGGGAAATTTTGAGATGGGAAATAAGATGAGTGGAAGTTAATTCAGTTGGGGGTTGGGTTAACAAAACACCCTTTTGAATATACTGGCAAGAAAGCATAGGAAGATCAGAAACAGAGAGTCTTAAGGAATTATTAACAGATTCATGATGTTCTGGGTATATTGTGGATCTAGAAACGACAAAAACTGAAGAAGAAGGCATAGTTGCAGTGAGTTTATTGATTGTTATGGTGAGAAGGAATGGGAAATGGGAAATGGGAGAAGGGGATGGGGAAAGAAGTAGGACAGTTGGAAGGTATATATAGAGGTTAGGAGTGAGGCTTGGTTCATGCACTTTGGTGGTTAGTGGACTTAATTTGACCCTCGGATCTTTCCTTTCTTTTATTTTTTTATTTTTTTGTGATCGTGATGTCCGGATTAACTTGTGCGCACCTCTATATTATGCTGGGTACCTACTATCTTTTAGCAGCACCGAAATCATGTAAATCTAAGCACCAACACTTAAGAAGATAAGAAAAAAAAATCACCTAGTAATGTGTGCGTATGCCTGGACTTGATCATGAGATCCTTGGACCTTCTCTATATATTTTTTCTAACCATCTTGTACCGGAAGTTTATTGGCCGATTAATTTGGATTTGCGCCGCTAAAATCATTAAAGGGAGGTCTACTAGAAGCTTTTTCATTCCCAAGAACTCAAATTTAAGACTTCGGGTGTGCTGCACTCCTTGGTCGGCTTTCTTTATTTACTTCTCCAATATATATTGATGAGCACACAGTACAAGTGAATGATGAAGAGAGTAATGGACATAGTGGTGGTTTTACGGAGTTTGTACAATCATGATCATACATACTCATGATTTTTTCTTCATAAGTTGGAAAACTAGATATCAGTAGTGCCAGACACTATGTCCAATGAACTTTCCTAATGACTGGCTTTCTGTTACATTGACCCATCCCATATTAGGTGGTCAAGGTCGTTCGAGGTCGTAGTTCTTTGTAGTTTCATGTGGTCTATGGTAGTAAATTTAGAATATCATTGCAGTCACTATTCTTTTGTACATAGCATGTTACAATAAGTAAGGACGTAATAATATTTCATATTCATACGTAGATATAGACATATATAGTCCAAGTCAAAGATAGCGAGGGCATACACTGCTGTCCTAAAGCCGTTTAAATGTGATATTGCCAAATTTCGTCTATTTAGAGCGGATACAAGACAAAACTTTATTTGGAAAACGATAACCCGTGAGGATGGGAACAAGTATACAATGAGTCCATTGATTACATGCTTAATAATCACTAAATGTTCACTCCATGAAAAATTTGTTTTGGTTTCACAGGAAAAAACATATTAGCACAACCAAAGGCGTGAAGACTGAAGCCTCTACTTTTGAATGAGTGATTAGCAAAAAATATAATTTGTGGAGTTGATCATCCCTAGAGGAATAATTGAGTCTATCTATTCCTATGCTAAATGCTATCTCTCCGTCCATCTTTAGAGAAAAACAAGCTAGGGAGCATTATTGCTGATCACGACAAAGTCATTATCTTCGTCCTAATCTTGAGAACACAAACCTATGGAAAGAGACGGATTCAAAATTTTAAGTTTATATGTTTTGAATTCTAGAGAAGGCAACTTACTGGATTTTGGATTATTAGATAAATTATTTATGCATATTATATAAATTTCTTAACATAAATATAAATAAATGGCAAAGCTATTGAATTCTGCCCCGCTAGTGACACTATTAATTAATAACGTGTGTATAGTGTACACTGTAGAGAATATATACATCAAAGAAAGAGCAAGTGAAACGCAGAAGCCAATTCAACAGCGATATAGAGCTTGTACACTTGCTATTTTAGATAGCTAGCTGACATCTGAACTTCTATCTAACACACTAGCATTTCCAAATCCCCTTAGTTTGGAAAAATCTTTTCTGAATTATATCAGATACTTTAGTCGTTTGGAATTTTATTTTTGTTAATTCTGTAGATTGTATTTTTGTGTGTTGTGTATGATAATTAACTATGAAATATAAACTTGTATTATCTTTTAAACCTCGTGGAATCAAAGTGCAAAATTGACACCTAGGGGCATTGAGGTTGAAGCTTCCTACACATAACATTTTGGACGGTGCGTGTACGAACGCAGCACTTGTCTATTTTATGTTACTCCTAAAATGCGTATGTTTTCCCCTAATTGGCAGAAAGAAAATTAAAGAAAACATTATTGTTGAACTTTTGGTGTTTATCACAAGACATAAAGATGATTTGACTTGTTACCAAACTTAACCTAGTAAAACTTTACATGTGATATATAGTCATCCCAGCTCTCAAGTTGATTGTTGAGAGAGTAACATTTTGCACATCGTGGGATTTTCATCAATTTCCAGGAAGGTTAATGCCCGCGTCCCCCATGGATGGTCGGTAACTCCTTCCAAGCTATAATTGTTTTCTCCATCATGGAAAACGTGTTTTTTTCTTTTTCCTCTTCTTTTAATTTTTTTTTAATGTAGAGATTTTCATAGTGAAAGATAAAAGAATATTATCGCAAAAAACTGCCGGGACACGGAGATCTATTAATCAGTATGAATTTTAAGAGTGGTTGATTGATCGCCATTGTATGACCCAAAATTTAGATTTAGACTTATACAATGGAATTTTATAATAAAGTTGTCTTAGCCAATATTAATATCCAAAAGATAGATCAAATAATTTTGTAGTAAAATCTCACGTATGCTATTTGAGCAGCAATAAATAACAACAATAACGGTATAATCAATGATCCAAGAATATGGAAGATAACAATAAATAACGTCATTTAAGTAAATAAATGGACGTGGGTCACCCAAAAAAGGGTGAGATTCCCTATTATTTCTTTTGACAAGGATAGATAATGATAAGTCTTTGAATTTTCGGATTTTTCTTGGATCGTGGGAGAAAGGATAGATAAAGATCTAAAAAAAAAGTAAATTTTGTATGTGTATGATAAAGTAAGAATCTTCGGAGTATGTCAATATATAATTTTTTTTACAATGAGTGTCAAATATTCTCTATAACTACATATCTTTCTATTTATAAGGGTACATGGGTCATAAAATTCTAAATAGTACAACTGCGAGGAATATTCACTGGAATATTCTCCGGGGAACCATCAACACAGAATTAGCTGTTACTACTCTAATAGAAGGAATGCTCGTCCTCATCCTTGTCCTTCGTTGGGCCATCTCGACCTCGACGACGATATGTTGTTTTTTTATGACATCGCCATTTTATGAAGCCAAATCATTATATCTTGTTGACGACACATGGCAGCCTTCGAAGGCTCTCGTAATGTCGACTTGATCCACATATAATTATGATAATTTTTAGTACATACAGTTAGTCCCTCCAATAGGCGACGTGGCGCTTCACGATAATCTTAAATTTCTCGGGTGATTTAATGGAACCATCATGTCAAAGAGAAGATGTGACGTCATGATGTCATTCGTCATGACGATGCCGGTTCCCAACGTGTCGCGTCGATTCACGCGCGGCCCCTGATCGGCTTTGTCGTTTCGATTCTAGTGACAATTATGACGAACCGTTTTGGGTTCGGTGCCCTTTTCTCTATAAATGGGGGTGCATTCACCAGAATTCAAACTTTACATTCTCGAAACTTCTCCTTTTAATTTCCTTCTTTTGCTTCCTAACAATTCTTCATATTTCTAGCATTGCTCTCTTCACTTTTCTCAGCTTCCAGAACCATGTCGAATCTTCCCTCTAATGTAAATGAGGAGAACCATTCCATTCACTTGGATGTTGTATTTCCCGTTTACGGGGAATACACTGTCACCACAGCTAAGGAGGAGCTCTCCCTTTAGTGGAGGAGATCATCCCTCGTTATCTTGATGCCAAACCTGACCTCCAATGGCCGCCGGAAGTGATGACCGAGAAATTTCAATCCATGATGACGGCCAGGCGCTGGCTGAGTTTAAAACCAACTTTGGCCTTCCCGACCACGTGGAGCTAATTCCCACTGGTAGTGACAAAGTACATATCCACCGTCCTGGGTATTGTGCTCTCTATGCCTACCCATTCGCCATCGGTTGTTCGTTCCCTCTCCTTCCGTCGGTGGAGGATTTTTGTCGCCATTACAACGTTTTCCCCGCTCAGATCACCCCCTTATGTTTACAAAGTGATTGAGATGTTGTCGAAGTTTGCTGAACTGGTCGGGGTCGAGTTCACGCTGCGTCACTTGGTGCATCTTTTTGCACCCTATTTTTATCGAGGAACGATGATGAATCTTCGACATCGTGGGGGAAAATGTTTGGTTGTGAAAATGGACGATAAAGGTAGCTGGTAGTTCTGGATTGATTATTTTATCAAGACTAAGGCCATCGTAGATGATGTTACTGGTTTCCTAGAGGCCTAGAACCATACTCATAAGTATTAGTGTTTTTGCTTTTACTCTTTCAAATATTTTATTCATCCCGAGCTGGTCAAGTAATCATTCTTTTTCTATAGCCACTGGTCGACCTCTTCAATTGGTGACGTATCTCACTGAATAGGTTAGGCAGGTTCATGCACCGTGGGAATCCGTGATTGGCCGAGCTTCTTTTAGAAGTTCAAACCGATCCTCCCTTCGATAGGTGATTTCCTTCTTCTAGTCGTCGTCATACTCGTATTGGTTTACGTCGTCGTGCTTACTTTTTTTGTTTTCTCTAGGTTCCGTCAAAGGGGCTACAATAAGGAACATGGCGCAGATGCCCTCGTTTAGGAGGAGAAGGGTCGCTACGCCTTCCGCCTCCGCCCCCGTCTCAACTGTTGTGCCCGCTCCTCCCTCATTTTCACTCATCGATATAGATAATAAGGTCTCTCCACGCCGTCTGTGGGGATTTTTTCAGCCAACTTTTTAGTTTCTATTAGATCCATAACTCGCGTGACTTGTTAATCTAATGAACCACAAGGTTTATCTTTTTTCTTTGTGCGAGCAAAAGTCTCCATGGAAGGTAACCAAGGAAACAGAACGAAGGCAACAAATAATGTTCCTCTCAACCTAATGAATGCCATCAACGAAGGCTATGACACCCATTATGAGGAGGTAACACTTATGGCCTCCCCCAGACGAGAGAGGTCACATGCACCTTTCTGCAACACAACAAACAAAAGGGGAAAGGGGTCTCTACGTACACAGGAGAGGGAGATCCACCCGCTATGAAAAGGCTCCTCGAAGCATAGCTAACTGAGACTCAAGTCAGCATGCTCAGTAAGCAAGCCCCATGCACGACCACAGAAACCATGAGAGTCCATGCAGCACAACGCAGGAATGAATAAGACGACCAATCGAGCCCTCCGA